ACCAGATTCATCAGCAAGGATTGGAAGGACTTCACTGCCCAGATCTATGACATCAAACTGAGCATGACTTCTGGCCGACACCCCGAAGCCAATGGATTGGCTGAGGAAATCAACCAGACCGTCACCTAGCTGCTGCGCGCATTGATTGTGCCAGATCAGAACACATGGGATAAGGACTTGCATAAAGTAAAAGGGTTGTACAACAACTCCATCCATTCTGCAACCGGTGTGACACCAAACCAGTTGTAGTATGGATGGCCAATGCGCAATCCCCTCTCCTACCTGTTCCCAGAACGGTCACCTGGTCTGATGCCCGGCATGCCTGGCTACAATGCGAAGTATGCACGCTTGCTCAAAGCTGTGACCGCAGCCATGAACAAGCGCCAGCATGCCATGATCAAACATGCTAATAAGATGCGCAGAGAAGAGAAATTCAAAGTAGGAGATTATGTCAGGGTCAAAATGTCTGAATTTTCTGATGAAGAGGGCGTTTCACGGAAGCTTCTTCCGCTATACTACGGCCCTTGGCAGATTCTGAAAGTGATCGGGGATGATTTCGGTCCTTCATATGTGATTGACGTGCCGCCTCATCTGCGCACGTACCCAGTCTTCCATGCCTCCAAACTGTTTCCGCACATTGATGATGAGACTTTTCCCTTCCGAGACCCTATGATACCTCGCCCTATCGATGGTGGCCATGAGATCGACAGAATCGTTTCTCACGAAGGGAGAGGGAGGAACAGACAATATAAATTTCACTTCCTCTATCACCCGTTGAATGAATTTTTCTGGATCGACCGGAAAGAGCTGTTGAAGAGTGCGCCACGTGTTGTGAACGCATATGAACGACAGATTGTTGATGGACAGACCGCCAAGTTTGCTGCAAAACTCACTCCGTTCGGTCTCACTAACACTCTCCTTTTGATCTATGCCTACGACGCCTTTTGTACCGACTCTGACTGAGTTACTCGCTCGAAGGGACCTCGCTCTCNCACACACACACACACACACACAGTACCAGGTACTGACCTGCGAAAGGTGGCGCCTTGATGCAGCTACGGAGGTGCTGAAGACGAAGCACTGTTACATGTCCAGTTGGGCGATGTACATATATAACCAAGGATCCGCAGTGTGATAAAAAGGACTGAATGGATAATGCAGTGCAAGTAGAATCTCAACAAGCAGTGTGCATTCTGATACATACAAAAATGGTGCTTTATAGCGCAGTGGAAGACTTAGATACAAGTCCTGACCTGACCGGGAATGACCTCCCTCACGTAGCACAAGACAGCGCAGAATGCTAGAATACCAGTGACGAGCCCAATCAATGTTGCAATGCAGACTAAACATATATCATCTTCATCACAAGGTGTGAAGGAGGCCTCGCGCTGCACACAGGAAGAATGCGCCAGGTCCTGATCATGCACAGACGAAGAGGAAGGGAACAGACGAAGAAGAGGGGAACAGACGAAGAAGAGGAGAGGGTAGATGGGAAAGTCGTCAACACCAAGTCTTCGTTACAAGTCCCAAATAATCCCTCGTCAAAATGTCTGAAGCCCAACATCGAGTCTGGATCCAAATGTCACCAAGCTCTCTCTCGTAGTCTGCTGATGCAGTGAAGGCAGATAGCGAAAGGGTGAGAGGGAGATGGTGGACTGAGAAGAGTCTTGCCAATGCCAAAACGTGGCCTGAGCTAAAACCCTGGTCTGGTGCCTGAGTTTCAGGGCAGGTCGGTCTTACGAGGGCCTGAAAATGGCCCTCAGTTTCAGGCTGAAAAGACTCAGGGCCGGAAAGGCCCTGTTTTAGGCTGAAACGACACAGGGCCTGAAAATGGCCCGTGCAGCCTGTTGCAGGCGCAGCATGTAACACGGGGCTGGAGCGATGATGTCGCAGGTAAGTCTCAGGTAAGTCCCCTGGCCTCCGCCACTATCTCTCCCTCCTGCGCTACTCTAAGCCCTATCACCGCCCAGCGCTGGAAGACTAGTCCTATCGTCGACTACTACCACACTGATATCGTCCGAAGAATACCTCTACTCAATGCCTAGACTGAGGCTGGACCCAGCTATATATAGCTCTGGGTCGGCCTCAGCTGCTGAGTCTGGCGCTCAAACTGAGGCTGGGCCTCAAAGTTTGGCGCCCAAACTGAGGCCGAGCCTCAATCGGCCTACTGAAACGGCGCGGCCTCTGAATCAGGGTCTGGCGCCAAAACGCACCCCAGGGCCTGTATCCGAAACGAGGCCTTCAGGGCCTCTAAGTGGTACCGGTCCTTCTCAGGCCTAAACTGGCCTACCGTCCCTACGGGCCTCAATGTGGGCCAAAACGACACAGACCGTGAACTCTACTAACCCCTGGCCTACCTGGTCGGGCCCTGCTGGGCCCGTGTGGAACTGAGTATGCCACAGAAGTCTACCGGGTATAGATTCTGGCCGGGCATTGCAAGCGAAAACACGCTGCCCGCACATACTGCCCGTTTGGAAAAAAGAAAAGGCGCCGCAAGGAAAATTATGATGAAATTGTCTCAACGGTTAGAGCAAAAAGGAACGTTCGGGGAGCAGAGGTCCTTGCTCAACTGCTCTCTAGGTGCACAAAAGACAAGAAATATCACGGTGTATCTTACCATGTTTCATTCTCATTTTGCACATTTGGAGAGTAGTGGAGCGAGGCCCAGAGAAAGGGAAGGGGAAAAAAAGAACAGTCGCTGGGTATGTCACGCCGGGGTATACTGTTGCGCCCGCCATGTCGTTCGGCATCAGTGCGAGCTTGAGAGGATGACAAGTGGGGCAACTGGACGGCGACGATGACCAGAACAATGCGCGCGCGCGCGCGCGCGCGCGCGAGAGAGAGAGAGAGAGAGAGAGAGAGAGAGAGAGAGAGAGAGAGAGAGAGAGAAGCACCCATGTCGAGAGCGTATGTCTGAAAGTTGGAAGATGGAATATGGCGTGGGACATACAGCCCTTTTCAAAATGGTGCAGCCATGTGAAAACATGGAAATCCGAGATATTTACAGAGAGACCCATGTAATGACCCGCCAAAAGCACAGACTGAGAACACTGCCGATTTCTGGGATTTGTCACTGGAATGGATGCCTTGTTGTGATTCCCGCATTCTGCTGTGGTTCCAAGTCTGTGTGTGTGCGTGCCTGGTGGTTGCATGCCTGTCTGAGTGCTTGCTGGTTGTGTGTGTGTGTGCGTGCATGCCTGTCTGAGTGCTTGTCGGTGGGGTATGTGTGTGTTTGACCTGCAAGGGTACTTGTTGGTTGCAAGGCCCAGCGGGCCGGTACTTACCTGTGGCCGTGACTCTGGAGGGTTGCAGGGGGGGTAAAACACTCCGGTAGCGGGAGATAGGCCCACGRCACTTAGAGCAGCTGGGGAAAACACTCAAGTAGCAGGTAGGCCGAGCAGAAGAAGACAAAAAGTTGGCATTTTTAGAGGTCCAGTAGCGGTAGGTTGGGGGTAGGCCGGTACCAGTCCAAGTAGCCCGGGTCTAGGGCCTGTGCGGACAATAACAGAGCCTGCAATGATGTTTCCCTCCAAAGGGAGGAGGTACCGGTTGCCTGGAAGGCCGCTTGGCCTGGAAAGTCACCGCCCAGGAGGCCRGTAGGCCACTATATCTTCAGGAAGAGCGGAAGGCTCTTCCTCATTTGCGGTATGCAAGGATTGGCGACATGCTGCTGGAGCGCAGCGCTGCTTGGAGGTGAAGGTCCGCTGGGGCTCAGCCTGGCAAGGGGGAGCACCCCAGCTTGAAGGAGGAAGAAGGKGGACATGGTAGGAGAGTGGTAGGGCACTTACCTGGCTATGGTGGACACYGTCTTYATCACCTTGTTGGGCGCTGCATCTRGAAGGCCCCAGTTGGGGTAGCGCTGCACCAGGGCAGCTCGAGGCAGGGTCAGGCATAGMGGACCAAGTCAAGCAGCGGCATAGCTGCTTTGGGTTGTCTKCTGGACATCAGGGCAGCACCATGGCTGCCACCCAGTAGTCCGCCATGGCCTATGCATGAGAGAGGAGGTTGAAGGAGGGAAGACATAGCCATGGTGGACTTGTTGTTGTTGTTGTTGTTGTGAGCTGAGTCAGCAGTAAGGGGGAACTTCGGACATTGATTCTGGTTCATCCATTCATTGTTATTATTATTATTGAGAGAAGAATAAGATTGGTGAAGAGAAGGAGGAAGGAGGAAGGTGGAGAGAGAAGGGGGAATTGTCATTGGTCTTGCTGGTGTACTTCTTCTTCTTCTTCTTCTTCTGAGAGAAGGGGGAATTGTCATTGGTCTTGCTGGTGTACTTCTTCTTCTTCTTCTTTCTTCTTCTTCTTCTTCTTTACCTTTCCTCTGGTCTTTATCTCTTTGCAAGTGCTTTCATTTCTTTCGCAATTGGGTGGCATTGTCTATCATTGTGAATTTGCACTTTGGAAATGACCAGGATCGTAACACCCATAAAAAAAAAAGGATGACACGGCCTCCCTTCTGAACCTCCGGCCCAAAACAAAGAGGCGGGTACCATTCATTTTTTGTTTGGGAGGCTGGCACTGTAGCTGTTAGGCTCGGGGAAAGGCAAAATTTGGTTTGACAATTTGCTTCAGTTGCAGTGGTTGTTTAATACGGCAGATGAGAGTTGTTTGGGTCAAGATCAATTGCTTGGTCATGTTATCTATTGATAGAAGAGGGCATCAGGCTTAGAAAGCGAAGCTTAGAAAATTTTGAGCAAGCAGGGGTGGAGCGGTGGTACATCCTTCCTAGCAAAGGAAGTGATGAATTCTGCTGTCTCGGGGCCCCTTGGCCATAACGAAGGGAGCGTTGAGTGCGCGTTCGATGTAAGGGACGCTGAGCCTGGTTTCCAGCATTATAAATAAAAAAGAAAGGCAGTTATAAAAACAAAAGGTGTGCATGCTGTTCAATTGCACATTGAACTTGATTGAAGTATAAATTTTAGATGCTGTGGATCACTCTCATTTGCCCTTTTCTTTTCGTATGTGGTGTCAAACACATTGTGGCCTTGTCTTTTGCAGGACAGCTGTGCTAGGTGTGATGTAACTGATGGGAATGTGGGCTGGGCTCTCAAGAAATCTAAGCTTTCATCGGATGTTGTCAAAGTAGTCGTACTAAATCCACGAACGGTGAGTTTATTGTCATGGATGGACCTGTTCTAAACTGCATTCATCACATTTCTTGAACATTGAGCCCCCATGGACTAGGAGTTTAACAGGATGAACTGCTTTAGATTGTGGTGGTTTTGGCACATTCAGTAGGGGCCTTAGGATGTTTGGGTTCTGACCAACACAAACCTGGACTTTGCTATTTTAGGCTTGAGAAGAGGGGATCAAGATGTGGGTTTGCCATGAGGATGAGGGGCAGCTTGGGTCGCTCGGGGATGTTTGGGATGTTTGCAGGGTGTTTTAACAAGCATGTGCTGCAAGGTTTCTGAAGGGTCAGGAGCGGTTTTGTTGGGTGTTTGGAGAGGTGCATGAAGGCTCTTGCCAGGGTGTTTGGCGGGGTGGAAATCGGAGGCTGCTGGGTGCTCTCTCTCTCTCTCACACACACACACACACATAATGGAATGGCAGCTGGTAATGAAACAGTTTTCACCTTTGGCAGTAGCCGATGCAGATCCCAGGGGTCGATCCCTTGACCTCAGCTTACCTGTGTACAGTATCTGCACAGTTCCCTGGAATTGAACCCGTGACCTGCATGATAGCCAGTGGTAAGTAGGTCACCGTAGGTTGTAGGCTGTAGGGAGATTCGAACTGTAGACCTGTAAGGTAGGAGTCCAAGTAGAGTCCAGAGGCCTAGCTGTAGTCCTTCTAGAAGG